GATAAAAGCCAAATGACATATGATTATGATACAGAGGCTTAAAACTCAGAAGCAGCTAATTTTAAGGGTCATTTGGTTTGCAAGTCATACCGGGATTATAATGTTGGGGATTATTATAGGGGAATCATATAATAATGGGATTATTTAGAGGATATACTTTTTTCAATAGATGTTTGATTTCTTTGGATTAAAAAAGGGATATATGGGATATGATATAAAACCNGACTTTACAATTGACAGCTCAAATGATCATGGTAAAAGAATTTTTAGGTAAAAAAAGCATGATGTTTACCACATAGAATATTAAGGAAGCATATGGATCTTACTTAATTTTTGAGCAATCGAAGCAGCTTCAGCAACACGACTATCATCAGAGAACAACGGAGAAAGTTCCATCAGGTCTCCTGGACTGCTATTGAACTCCATCAAGTACTATGAAATGGAAAGCAACTTACACTGTCAGTTTCCACATGAGGATAGAAACTAGAATAGCCCTACATGCAAGGATTATTTTGCCGAATGCACGAAGCTAGTCATGAAAAGTTTACCTTTATGAGCTCTATTGTCTGACTAGCAACTTCTCTCTGAGCATCTGCACTCTGGACACAAACAGAGATTCAGTAGATATTGGACATACTAACAGCATTAAACAGCTCAGGAAATTAATCAACATGGACAAACTAATGGAGTTAGGTCTTAAGGAAAAATTTCTTTTTCTTTCTGCTCTTAAAAGTAGGCATTTCGTTATTAGTAGAAGGAAAGCAAAGTAAAAGGGGGAGGATACTGTGGAATTTCTGGAAGCAAACAAACTTGCACTTGGCCATAACGAAACACTTTCATTTGACCAATTGTTTATACTCCACATAAAACATCATACGAAATTAACCTTAATCAAGCATCAAAACAAGTGCTTACAAGACTTGCAAAATGCAAAGAAGGAATTAAGCTGCTATACCTGTAGATGATCTCCTATTTTGGCAGCTGTTTGACCCACACTAGATATACGCAAATCCAACCGTGCAAAGCTATCAAACAAGCCGTCTACACCTTTTTCCAGCTGCACATTGCATTTTTCATCAAACTTAAACTGAGGTCTTTATCTAGGTAAAAAGCATCTCTTTTTTTTAATATCCCTAGAAGTACAAAGTGAAGAAAGAGACAACAACAGACCAAGTGGATCGATTCTCATTTTCATAAAACAAATTTAAAAAGTATATTGAAAACATTCCCCACATACTGTGATTTAAAATGTTACCTCGGCAGCACTTTGTCATTTATTTGCTCTATCAAGAAACTTACTCCATTAAAGGAGCAGATTGCACTAAAATGAGCTAATCCCCAAAACTATTTCCAGAAAAAAGATTTCCCTTAAAAGAACTATAACTTCATCTTATAATGACCACAGTCCAATGAACTAACCTCAGAAAGTGTCTTGTGGTGCGTTGTATCTTGGACAGCAACTTCCTTCTTAAGATTGTTAAGTTTCCCATCAATCTTTGATCAAATATGAAGGCATCAGATCAAAAACCTTCAGAAACAGTATTACCTCACTGAATACACATATAATCCTTTACTATACCTGTTTTCTGAGATCAACCAGTTGTTTACACGAATTCTTAAATAAAGATAATAAATCATCAACTTCAGGAATAACGGACTTGACATTCCTTGTGCTGACTTTCCCGCATCTGGTGGTGTCCGCAAATTCCCATTTGGTAGAGCATCATGGCCTTCAGCTGCGTCTGATTCTTCTTCTTGATAAGAAGGTAATATCTCATTCACCAAGTTACCAAACAAGCCATCAAAGGAGAACTCCCCCTGCATTTATTGGGTAAAACACGCTGCTGTCAGTTAACTACCAACTTTCTAAAGCTTAAGTTGGCATAATCTTCCATACACATTATATGACATCTGAGGCGTCACCTTGAAATCATCTATGTCAAGAACAAGCAGATCAGAGTCAGCAGATGCAGAACTTGAAAACATGTCAACCCTCACTCCGTCTCTAGTCTCTCTCATCTATTCTGAGTCACAAGAAAATGGAACCAGAAATTATATCCGTCATCTTTGCTAAAAAACTGGATTATAATCATTTGACAAGCAGGATAACTAAGCTAAAAAGTAGCATAAATTTGGTGGTGTACAACACAAGACTGTGATCAGTCCTCATTGGTTCCTTACCAACAGCTATAGGATAGACAACCAAGGAAGAAAAAGGTAGCAACAAAAAAAGTGAATTTCTAAAAGTATAAATTATGTTAAAAAACCTAAAAGCCACAAGACATTCAGCAATTTCATTCAAAATTCAAAACTCAGATGAGATGTAAGTGTGTGTATTGGCCATTTCTAGTAACTATTGGATCTGCTCTAAACTAACCTTGTACGGAGCAGGTGTTAAGTTTGGCAGAAATGTTTGTCCCACATCAGTGGCAAAATAAAAATTGGGGGATTTTCCTCATATAAAAATATAAAAGAAGACCTAATGTTTAGGATTTAAATACACCTCTCATTTGCCTTCTCATCTGTTTAAGTCATTTGTATCTTCTCTCTTTAGTATTATTTCACTTGTATTTTTGGAGTGGAATAAAATATTGGTTGTGTCCAAAAAGTAAGCAAAATTAGCCGAACCTCGTAAATTCTGGTGTTTCCTTTATTGTTGCTTTATTGTCTTATTT